CATCAACAGCGGGCTCTTTTAGCACTCCAGAATATAGGTCATCATGCATTCATGTACTTGAACTAAGACTGACTAGATGCTCTCTTACCAGTACCTCATTTGTTTAAGGTTTTGACCTCCTTTTAATTTTTTCTCCCTACATTTCCCAGTCTGAGGAATATTCTCATTGGTAGGTAAACATGCTATGAGATAGGAATCGAATAGTCCTACTTCTAGCCATTAATTTTTATCCCTGCATCCACTGTAATCATCAATCTTAATCCTTCTTTGATTTTCCTCTTGACCCAACACAATTACCAAAGTCCTGCTTGTTACTCTTAGCATCTGCTGGAAGCATCAGCTTCTCCTGTTTAGAAATATTCATTTGCCTTGTACATTTCTCTTAAAAACCAGTTCCCTATCCACCTACACTGGTCTCTTCAGCCAATCTCCTTTTACTTACTAATAGATTGTAGTTCTTGTTCATGAATTTCCACAGTTGTATCATCTTGATTTACATGCTGCTTTATTCCTTCCACTTCTGTATTTCAGTTAGGTAACACCCTCTCAAGTCTCAGAGTTGTCTAACAGGTTGAATTTATTCCTTGCATTAAGACCTAAAGTCACTTTGCTTTTTACTTGTACTATGTGCAGATGCATATAGACTCCTCAGGCCATGAGTTTTACTAGTGCCCTACAGCACAGCAAAACTCCCTCTTACTAGACCTGCTACCATAACTAGCATCCGGCTAGACTCTTTTCTTTTTAATAAAGCCAATTTCCTCCTATAGAATTGTAGGCTATTAGATATTTTCTAACTTTTCTCTAAACTCTGAAATCTCTTCCAAAATAGATGGTTCACATCAAACTGTACTCAGTACTCCAGTGTTGCCCTTCCTGATCTCTCATGGATACTAAGAAAGAATGGTGATAAGTCCATTCCATGGTTCTCATCATTTCTACTCTGATAATAGATATTTCCTTATTGCTCAGCATCAGGTTCAGAATACTAGTCTTCCTTGTTGATCTCTTCATCTTCTAAAGAATGAAATGAAATTAAGGCAAGTTAAACATTTGTCAGCTGCTATGCCTTTAGCAGCTAGAGAGTTCTGGTAGCTGCCCAAATTGTTCAATTCAACCATATTCTATTTCCATGCAAGTTTTGCTATCTTGTAGAACTCATCATCTGTTTCTTCCTTTTGTTTTAGATTCCCACCATAATATTGCTTCTTTTGTCTCCTCAGAGAGATAGTCAATGCAGTGGATAGAGTACTGGACCTGGTATCAAGAAGTCCTGGGTTAAAATACTGCCTCAGTTATTGACTAGCTGTGTCACCTTGGGGAGTTCATTTAATCTCTGTCTGCCTCAGTTTCCTCATATGTATAATGGGGATAATAATAGTAACTACCTCTCAGAGTAGGTTGTGAGGATAAAATGAGATAATATTTGTAAAGCACTTTGCAAGCCATAAAAAGCTACAAAACTGCTGGTTATTATTGCTATTGTTTCACCAAGAGAGACTGTAGTTCTTGTTCATGAATTTCCACAGTTGTATCATCTTGATTTACATGCTGCTTTATTCCTTCCACTTCTGTATTTCAGTTAGGTAACACCCTCTCAAGTCTCAGAGTTGTCTAACAGGCTGAATTTATTCCTTGCATTAAGACCTCCAGTCACTTTGCTTTTCACTTGTACTATGTGCATATGCATATAGACAACTCAGGCCATGAGTTTTATTAGTGCCCTACTGCACTGCAAATCTCCCTCTTATTAGACCTGCTACCAACACTAGCATCTGGCTTAGCTGACATATGTGGGCAGTTTTCTCTCTTTCTCTCCATTTTCAATTTAAAGTCCTCTTCATCATATTCTAAGCACCTCCAGGCATGTGTGTGTGTGTGTGTGTGTGTGTGTGTGTGTGTGTGTGTGCGTGTGTGTTTCCTGGCCATCATTAGATATAGTCCATACTACCTCAGGAACTCATCATCCCTGTGTTTGAAGTCCTGCTCCAGAAATCCAAATCCCCTTCTCCAAAACCATCTTGTTAAACTGTTTATTTCCTATATCCTCATTTTTATTCGGAAACTCTTTGCTAGCTAGAGGTGGCAACAGTGAAGAATGCATGCTGTTTTCTGCAGGAAATCCCTTCCCTCAAGGTACATTTTCTAGGGTCAGGTCATTTTAGTGATACCATTTATCTTCCCATGAATCCCTAGACAAGAGAATTGGTCAGCAGGTTTGCCGAGTCTCAGAAGGCAGCAGACCTTATTGTCCATGTCAGAAAAACAGAGGAGCCCCTTGGTCCCCTTGAGAAGAGAATTCTCATTTTCTTAGGTCCTATTCTAGGTGCCTTCTGTCCTGGCAGAATCCGGGAATCCTTATTATAAGGACCTTCTTCCTCAAAGTGCTTAGCCCCACTCATCCCCCAGTGCCAAAGGCAAACGAGCCTTTTAGTAGCTTTCAACGGGACCTTTACATTTCCTGTTGACACTCTGTTTAAAACATTTCTTCTCTTCTTTCAGGACACACTTCATTCTTGTAGATGAGCTGGAGACTAGAGAGAGAACCCTCCATTTCTCTCTAAAAGGAAGACCAATCTACATTTGCATACACCTAGCTATAACATGGCTCTGTAATGAGCATAAATCTCTTCAAGTCACCTGAACATTCACCCCCTTTGCCTTCCATACTTGCTGACACCAAGATCATCAGTTCTCTGAGACTCGCAAAGCAAACAGGCAATTTGTTGTGCCAGGGATTCTGTCAACAGGTTGGAATGAGCTTCTTTAAAATAATGCTCTTTTCTATATTTCTCTCAGACTTTCCCACCTTTTCCAAGTTATCTGGCACTTCTTGCTTAGGTAATTTGCTTTGTAATTAGCAAGTTTCTTAGCTATTAGCAATGAGAGTGGCTTTTGAAGAAATTTAAATTGGTACTTTTTGCCTCTTCCTGACTCTTTGTTGATCAATCTATTTTTTCCTTGCCTCTTTGCCGTGCTACCATCTTCTGGACTTGTCGGTCTCCTAGAGCAAACAGGAGGCTCTGCAGTAATGTAGGTGGTGACTTGAGCTCATTAAGACCAACTTGATGCTTTCTTACATTTATGAGAGTCTCACCTATTCAAGGTTTCAAACCCCTGTTGATCATTTTTCCCCATATTTCTCAGTCTGAAGACTTTTCTCATTGCTAAGTAAAGGAGATGCAATATAAGAGTTGAATGATTCTATATACAGGCACCAATTATCATCATTCTATCCACTGCAATCATCAATACTAATCTTTCTTTGATCTAGGTCTAAGGGCCTGGTCTAACTTTGAGAGAAAGAAATAGATCTGAGCACAGAAGCATTTTGAAGGAAAAAAATCAACTATAAAGTCCTCAGATATCATGGTAAAAGTATTTGACAAAGAAAATAGGACCACAGTCATCAGGGAAAGATACCTTTCCATTGACATTCAGCAATGTCTCTTCCTTTCAAAAGGGAGCAGCAATGGCCTTGGGCCACAATGACCCTAATCAGGCAACATTTTGTTTCAGCAGAGGGACTTAGCATAGCCCCTGAGCAACTGCTCAATTCCACCACAGGTTTTAGTCCTGGGGAATGGAGTATTATCTCCTCCGCTTATATCTCAGGGGTTTTGATGAAGATATTTATCTCTATGGTTCACAAATGGAGCTAGGTCATCAGTTAGATTAGAATTTAAGAGGGGGAAGCTGCTTGAGATAAGATTGTCTATGAGAGTAGCCAGTAGTTCCTATCGAAGACAGAGGGTGAGACATCCCCTAGAGTATTTTATCGGTACAACATCTAGGGAAAGTACCTTCTCAGGTGGGCACTACCAAAGATGAGTTCTCAGAGTTGAATAAGCAAAAGACAATTCCAAATTGTTTAGCTTGGGTGAGTGGCAGAAAGGTAGTATCCTTTACAGAAAGGAAGAAGCTGGAGGGGAAATAATTTTGAGGTGGAATGATAATGGCTTTAACTTTGGCCACATTGGCTCTAAGATGACAGCAAGACAGCAACACTAAGAATGACTATTCAAGGCTACAAAATACCTTAAGGTTTACTACAGCTTCATAGTGATGGCAAATTTAGTTCCTGAAACTATGATTGTGGAATATGAATACATTTTGAAAAGGGTAAGCTACAAAGGACAAGGAAATAAATGCAGAAAAACCACTATCTGATCTGGTTCACTTATAGAATACTGCTTCGGTTGCTGTCTTTTTGGAATCTTACATTAAGAAAGAAAACATAATAGAAATGACAATAGCATTGCTGAGATTAGAAAATTGAAGATACTTTATAGGGTTCTCTTGGGACATCGTATACTATGAAATATGCAGTTTTTTAATAGCTATAATAAATACAGAAAATAGCAATGGGACAATTTAATGATTTTTTTAAACTCATCAGAAGGAAAAAAATCTATGAATTCAAATGGTGTGTATGCTTAGTAAATCTCTCTTATGCTCTTGTGATTCTAAAAATTATTGATTTTTTTTAGTTTCTATCACAGAATGGATATAATATTGGGTCCCTTTTTCAATATTTTTGGATTATATATAGCATTTCTTTAATTTTTAGGTTCCATTAACTCTCCTACAATAGCTCTCTACCTTTCAAATACCCTATGGTCTTCATCAACTCAGAAAATGAGTTACAACCAAAGAAATAAACTTTTGTCTCTAGTAAGCCTTGCATAAAGCTTTTTTTTTTCTGTTAGCTTCTGCTACATCTTTAAAACTTAAAGCATAAATGGAAATGTAGCCATGCTCTTGAATATTTTAGAAAGCACGAGCTGAACACTCACAATCTCATGCTTAACCATCATGTCATTAAAATTAGGGTATCTGAACACAAATTGTCTGACAATGTGAAACCTTCATCAGGATGAAAGTGATAGACAGGCATTGGTATGAAATTACCTATAAAAAGGGCAGGTAAGATAAAGTTGCTTATTTTTTCTCTAGAGAAACAATAGGACCACATATAAAAAACCCTCTTTTAGCCATACCTGTGGTTATAATCTTCAAGGTCCAATTCCAGACTGGGATGCGGCGGTAGAGGTGGTGGGATGTCACTCTCAGCCCAGTTAGCATCGGGCAATAGCAGTTCTAGAAACAAAGAATAGATGAAGTTATAGCAAACTGCAGGAGACCTTTCCAACTCCTATGCAAGCCCCAATTCATCTCAGAGACCTAATTTAAACTGAAACATAAACCAGACTTGAAATGAAGATTACCTCTAATCGAAAATACATTTCCCCAGGATTCGCAGAAGAGATAATGCAGACATACACTTGCAGATGTAAACCTAAATACCCTAATATATTTTTATAAGGGTGACCTAGCAGTATACACAACACTAGCAAGTTCAAAAACGATGACAGTTCTATTCATGGCACTGACTGTGACTTGTTTACATGACCTAAGGAAAATGAGGTCAATGACTCAGTTTTTCTACTTGTAAAAAGATGACAAGTATTAACTGCCTCCTTAAAAGCCTTTCTAAAAAAAAAACAACCACGTTAAACTGATTTTACAAGCATATCTCTTTCTATCTAATGAGAGGACTGAAACAATTCTTCCTGGGAGGAAAAGGAAACTGATGAATACAGACTTGGAAATGCTTGAGCCAGAGGGTTTCTGACTGTTGGGAGCAAGTGGGGTCTCCTGCTCTGCTACCAGATAGAATAGACAATTCCTACTTTTGCCTCGGTATAGCAATTGGGCAGGAAGGGGTGGGGGTGGGGATGGGGGTGAGGAAGATTGTATTAGTCAGGAGCTGTCACACCCAAATGGATAAGGTCTTAGATAACTGGTCCACACCACCACTAGCATCTCTGCAATCACTGGTGCCTTTGGATGTAGTCACAGGCAGATGTAACCCACGTGGCTGCTTCTCAGCATAAAAGGTCTGCCCTCTGTTTGAGTTCTATGTCTCCCTCTTTTCTATCTTATTTCTTCTCCTTAGAAATCTTTGCTAACCAATTACAGGGCCATACACTATACGTATACAAAGCCTCTGGAGTTTTCTCCCAAACAGCTGGTGCTGTGTATTCTGGGAATCTGAGTCTCTGAAAGCAGGGCTATAAGTGAAACATGGAGAGGGTGGAAAGATGAAGCCCTTTTATATTTCTACCAATTTATAACATAGGTATGGTATTCCATATTTATTTTTTTTCAGCCAAAAACAAGGTTTATTAAAGATCTGCCACATTAGCCAAACTCTTGAAGAATCTGAGAGTCTGTGAGGTATTGGCTAGATTCTAAGAATCAGAGCAGTGGCTAAATTTTAGGAATCTGAACAGTGGCTAGATTATAAGAATCTAAGCATCTTAATGGAAACAAGTTGGATCTTATATACAGAAAGACTGTGGGATCTAGGAGTGGCCAGTAAACTGGGGTGAACAGAACTCCTAGGACCTGGAACTCGTGGCCAAGGGCGAATAGAGCCCAGCCAGGATTAAGGGTGGGAAATGTCTGGGGGTGGGGGTGATAGGGAGGTAAGACAAAGGAAGGCCAGGCCAGGTTAAGGGTAACAGAATTGGGAGACTGGTATAATCACAATGATAGGACAGTTGATGGGATTACAGCTTCAGGCAAAAGCCGGAGATTTGGCCACATGGAAAAATCCAAGGTTTTTCCTTTCTGGGGTCCAGATCCCATCCTCATCATTCCCCCCACAAACAAAGGGAACCCAAATTCTTTTGGGATAAGGGGTGAAGATCTCAGCTTCTGAAACTGCTTCCTACTGGCAAGGGGTGTAGAGCTGTCCCTGCCTCGAGGGGATCCCAAAGAGGAGGTTGAATGGAACTGAGCACAGGCTGCATCCAGGGAACTATGGGGAGACATTGACTGGTACCCACTGTTTGCTGTCAACTGTAGGTGAATGGCCTGTAGTCTTCCAGGCTGATGAAGATCTTGGCAGCTTTTCTGGGTGCAGGGAACCATATGATGAGGTCTAAAGGTTTAGGGGTGCTGGGACCCTGAGATTGTGACATGTGGGTCCTGCCCAAAAGAATTCAACCCAAGCCTTCTTTCAGGCAAAGACAAGGTTTATTAGAACATCCATCATATTGGGTAGACTTTTGAGGAACCTGAGAGTCTGTGAGGTATTGGCTAGATTCTGAGAATCAGAGCAATGGCTAGATATTAGGAATTTGAGCAGTGGCTAGATTATAAGAATCTAAGCCAATCCATATTTATTTCATTCATCTAGCAAATAATCCGGGGGGCTGTGGGTGTGTTAGTCACTGTGAGAGCTCCAAGAATACTATGTGATTGTTAAGGATACAATAGGGACAAGAGATTAGACAGTAAACTCAGTCTGATCACAGAGGACAGAACCAAGTAGTAACAAGAAACTGCCTGTATGACCTCCTACAAATCACTTAAGTTCCTTGGGCCTCAGTTTTCTTAGCTATAAGAGTGAGGGGAATACAAAATGGTCATTGAGGTCCTGCATCTATGATTTTATGAAGTTTACATGAGGCAAATTTAGTGTTATCAAGTAACAGATTTAGTGCATGAAGGGATCTCTGAGGTCATCTCATCTAATTAGATGAGGAAACTGAAACTCATAAGAGTTAATTGATTTGTCCAAAGTCACAGATGTAGTAAGTGACAAGAATCTGGATTTGAACCTGGGTCCTTGACTTTGAACCCAATGTTCATTCTTCTGTATTACCAGAGCTCTCCAAAATGGAAGGGGCTCCTTCTTCAGGATGTGGTGGGGTTCCCTATCATTAGAGATCTTCATGCAAAGTCTGAATAATCACTTGTCAGATGTGTGGTAGAGGAATTTTTTTTGGGAAGGTTTAGGTTGAACATTGTCTGTTGAATCCCCTTATGACTGAATTCTGTAATTCCTATAGACTTTTAAAATAGTTTCCTCTATTGGGGGGGGCGGGAAGCTCCCTAAATAATGTGATACATTATTTTAATTCAGTAGTAAGGCAGAAGGAAATGCTATTGTACTTTTTCATTCCATCATTACTAAGCTCCACTGGGATCCACTGAACCAGTCTGCTACAGTTAGGAACGGAGCTTCTCTCTAGTCCACTGGCTCTGAATCCCCCTTCCTTTCCCCCTCCCCCTCCTCCTTCTACTCCTGTAGCCTCCTACTTTATTTCTCTGCCTAATTGCTGCCTTCTCTGGATGCTGGAATAAGAGACAATCTGATGGCAATTGTCACTCCCACGACTGTTATTTGTTGAAAATCCCTGCTTCTGGTCAGTCAAGCCAGTCAGTCAAGGCTGGCCAGAAGCACTCTGTCTTTTGTTATGAAGACAGTAGTGGGGGTATTTCTGTTCTCTCAACTGTCTTGCTCTTCACCCCAACTTTATCCCCTACCTCCCATTTCACTCCCCGTTGGAAGTGGTTGTATTTGTAGCAGGGTCATCATGGAGGAATCACATGCTATGTTTTATGAATAGGTAACTTAAGTGGTGCTTAGAAGTCCCCATTCTCCAAAAATCTGTGCCCTACTAGGCACTTCTGCTATTTCAAATTTCCCTCTTACATCTATTCCTTTGGGTTAGGATGATCTAATAAAATATTTATATTTATAAATTGGCCCTGAGAACATCAAATAGCAAAGCTCTCTGAGGGTGAGCCCTTTAGATCAAGGCAGTTTTTCCTTGGGTCCACAGTCTTTGCTTTTCTCTATCCATCACTTCCATCTCAGCTTGTCTGCTTCACAAACTTAGTGAGTTACTGTTGAGTAGGACACACTAGAGTGATAACTCTTATTGACTATAGTTTGACTCTGCTTAACAAGTAAGTTTGCTTCTCCTCCAGGCTGCTCAGCCACCTGGCTATTTCCTTGCTTTTGGTCAGCTAGTGTCCTTCTTTCTGCCTTTCTCTACAGCTCCTCCAGTTTAGAACAAATCATCCTAAGACACAAGAGACACGGGCTAGAGTTCCTACTTCTGTTATTTAATTGACTCTGTAGACTGGGTCAAGTTACTTCTCCCCCTTCTCTGAACCTGTTCTGAGGTCTCTTCTGTGACTGCTTTTTTTTTGATTCATTAATTTATTTTTTTTTGTTTTCAACATTCACTTCCACAATATTTTGAGTTCCAAACTTTCTCCCCATCTTGTCCCTCCCCCCCACCCCAAGACAGCCTGCATCTGAATACTCTTTCCCTTAATCTGCCCTCCTTCTATCTCCCCCCCCCTTCTCCTATCCCCTTCCTCTTCTATTTTTCTGTAGGGCAGGATAGATTTCTGTACCCCATTGATTGTATCTTATTTTCTAGTTCCATGTGAAAACAATTTTTAACATTTATTTTTAAAACTTTGGGTTCCAAATTCTCCCCCTCCCTCCCTCCCCAGTCACCCCCATTGTGAAGGCAAGCAACTTGATACAGGTTATACTTGTATAGTCATGTAAAACCCTTCCATAGTAGTCATGTTGTGGAAAACTATATTTCCCTTCATCCTATCTTGGCCCCCCCCCATTTATTCTATTCTCTCTTTTGACCCTGTCCCTCCTCAGAAGTGTTTGCTTCAGATTACCCTCTCCCCCAATCTGCCCTCCCCATCCCTCCCCTCCTCTTATCCCCTTCCCCCCTATTTTCCTGTAGGGTAAGATACCTTTCTATACCCAGTTGACTGTGTATGTTATTCCCTCCTTAAGCCAAATTCAATGACTGTGACTGCTTTTTAATCCCACTTGCACTAAACAGCTTCCTTTCTATTTCATCTCTGCTTCACTCCACTCAGTTCACATATCCTGGCATGTCTAGGCTATAATTTAGCATCTCTAAAGCTCTTTTATGATTGACAATTTTCCCCTACAAGGAAGCTAAGGGTTATAATACAATTAATTTGGAATCCACTGGAGGGAGGTTTTCTTTATACCCTCTGAGGGTTAACACATCAAACTATTTTCAAACCATTAATTCTTTAGCATGAATTCCTTTATAAGTATCTTTCCTATAATGATAGCCAGTAATGATAATTGAAAATTTTTACATGTGACATTCATTTGACCCTGTTAACAAGCCTAAGAGATAAATACTATATGTTTATTATCTCCATTTCACAGATGAGGATACTGACTCATTCAGAATCACAAAGTAAATGCCAGAGGCTTATTACTAAATGTTTCTCCTCAATCCAAGTCCAGTGCTTTTCCCAGTACACCACACTGCTTTTCCTAAGTAAGAAGCAGAGGTCTGTGGAACAGGGACTAGAACTGGTACATTTTTAAAGAGGAGAAGGTAGAAAGAAACATAGAGCTAGAGAAATGGTACTGCTCAGGAAGAACAGAACTGGGTAAAGAGTAACACTAGTAATCCTTGGCAGCCAGCATATAGGTAGCCTGATTGCAGGGTGCAGAGATCACTCTGATACTTAAAATATTAAATGAAAGCACACTTCTTGGGTGACCCTTCATCATTTCTAGGCACAAAAACTCCTCCCGCGCGGATAATGTTCATTCCCAGCACTCCAACATAAAAATGAATTTTCTGGCACTATTATTTCTACAAATTGTAATTCTAAAAATGTTTTTTTTTTCCCCTGTGTAACAGCTTGGCTGGGGAAAAAAAAAACTGGAGATCTGTGGGTGGTAAGTACTATTATTGCAAAAATAGGTGGAACATAGCACATCAACATTGGATTTTAAATATATATATACACAGGAAAGCAAACAATGTAATGTTTTGGCTGTAACAGCTCCCTCCCCCCATCCCAATCCCCACCCTTAGACATTACATTTTTTCAAGCTAGTGTTATTTTCCTAAAGGAGATTCTTTTTTAAAAAATTTAGCACTGGTGAGTCAAATTTGCCTGTCTTGCTTTCATTGGGCTATTTGTGTGGGATGTTGGGACTCTATAGTAGTCTGGCAGTTAGGAGAGGTAACTGATTTCCAAAGTAAAGTAATTAAAGTGATATTCTCATTCTCATCCCTGTGCATTTTTACAATATTTTGTTAGCATGTTTTATAAAATGTTTTATAATCACTTTAAAAATAAGCTAGCAAGTCTATATAAAAAGCAAGAAAATTTCAACTAATACATCTAACAACTTTAATTTGTTCATGATATCCTAAGACTATAAATTACCATATGCTACAGTATTAATTATAATGTGATTTTTTTTTAGGCAATTGGGGTTAAATGACTTGTCCAGGGTCATACAGCTAGTAAGTGTCATGTGTTTGGTCTGAGGCCAAATTTGAACTCAGGTCCTCCTGACTTCAGGGCCAGTGCTCTATCCACTGCGGTGCCACCTAACTGCCCCCAATTATAATATGATTTTAAATAAATATTGGACTCAGTTGCTAAGAAGCGATTGTTTCATTCTTTTTTAAAAAATTTAACATTTTTATTTAAAGTTTTGAGTTCCAAATTCCATCCCTCCCTTCCTTCCCCCTTGGTAAGCAATCAAATATAGGTTTTACACATGCAATTATGTAAAACATTTCCAAATTAGTCATTTTGTACAAGAAGACAAATAAAAGAAAAAAAATGAAAGAAAGGAAGTGAAAAATAGCATGCCTCAGTCTATATTCGGTCAACATCAGTTCTTGCACTGGAGGCAGAGAGTATGCCTTATCATTAGTCCTTTGGGATTGTCTTGTATCATGGTATTGCTGAGAATAGCTAAATCATTCACAGATGATCATTGTACAATATTACTGTTACTGTGTACAATGTTTTCCTGTTTCTGTTCACCATACTATGCATCAGTTCATGTAAGTCTTTCCAGGTTTTTCTGAAATCATTCTGTTTGTTATTTCTTACAGCATAATAATATTCCATTACAATCTTATACCACAGCTTGTTTTTTCCATTCCCCCAATTGATGGGCATCCCTTTGATTTTTAATTCTTCTTAGCCACCACAAAAAGAGCTGCTATAAATATTTTAGTATAAATAAATCCTTTTCCTTTTTTTGGATGTCTTTGAGATGTAGACCTAGCAGTGGTATAACCATTTCATTCTTGAAAAAGGAAATAAGAACAGATTGTTCTATATTATACCTACTATAGTAATGTAACATTCCAATTAAGGACAGAAATGCACTTTAAAGAATACTGTAAAGCAATTATAAGTTCAAATTTCAGATAACGAACAGGAAGTTGTGGCAAGTCATTTAAAACTCCACTGCAAAATAATAATAATCATAATCATAATAGCATTTATCTAGTGCTTTAAGGTTTGCAAAGTGCTTTAAAAACATTATCTCATTTTATTAGGAATAGAATTGTCAACTGTACTTGGAATGACATTCAACTAATTTGTATAATTTCTTTCTAAAAAGTGTTATTGATATCTTTTGTCTTTTATACCTCAGCAATTTCCCAGTGTTTTCCCTATGCCAAAATTCTCCCTTGTAAAAAAGAAAAACAATTAAGAAAAATCAAGGAGCAAAATAATAATTGACGATGATATATACAACATTCTGCTCCCCTAGCTCCCTACCTCTATGCAGGAAGAAATGAAGTATATTTCACTATTCTTCTTCTGCCCGAAATCTGATTGTTATAATTGCATATTTTCAATGCATTCTACTTAGAGATCCAGGACAGTGACAATACAATGTTTAAATTGACATCCATTCATCCTTAGAATGATGTTATGACAGATGAGACATCTTTAGCCATCTTTTCACTGTTGAGAGATTTGGTTATGTTTATATTCTGCTGGAGTGAAGTCTATCTCAGAAGAAGTTCCTAGTCTAAGGAGGGTAGATCTGTGAACTCCTGCTGGAGCAAAAGGGATCTCACTGCAGAGCAATTCCAGAAGAGTCCCATGTGTTCAAGTTTATTCTGATGGGAGTTATCTCAGGATCACTAATAATCATTGTTTACATTTAGGAAAAACAATAATTTTTCCTGATATTACAAGATGACAGTGTTGAAGACAAGGTAAAAAAGCCTAGACTCTGGTATATAGTATAACCATAGACCTCCACAGCTTTCTAAAAACTGCACTGTTACAAAAATATATATATGTATAATATACATGTATAAACATACATGTATATATAATATATAATAGCAAAAGTTACTGCATTACCATATTACTGAAATAACAAACACATTTCATCCCCATGAAATGTCCTCAGTTAATTGTATTTAGCATGCTCATCCTACAATCTATCAGACATCTCTGAAACATGTGGCTAACATTTTATGGTTCACTACTATCTGGGCCATAAATCTTTGAAGTTTGATAGTTAATCATATTAGATAATTGTCAACATTTAAAAGGTCTTTGGAAACCCAACGCTGATGGCTTTGATTTTTCAAGTCATAGTTTGTTTAATATCTAACCTTCCGTGTTTGGGGCAGCGAGCTAGAAACTGTTAACTTAAACTGGCATTGTTGCCAGGAATCTAATTCACAACTTCTGAGTCAGCTCTCCCACCCATCTCTGAATGTTCATGACTCAGAGTAACAGTCTGCACTTAGTCTAATTAACTGTTCTTTTTTTTTTAAGCTAAAAAATTAAAAACAAAAAAGTCCTCTCCTTCTTCACTTCCCTTGGTGCTAACAAGAATACGAAAGAACCATACCTTTTTGTCTCTCCTGTGGGCTGTATGTGAGGGGTGTATGTGGGCTGGGCTCATGGCGCCTGGAGGTGGTAACAAAATGTTGACTGCTCTCAAGAGAGGGTTTCGGAAAGAGCCCACAGTCAGTACGCTCCTATGGAAAGGACAAGGAAGAAGTTGTAATTTCCCTTGATATATACCAAGTTAATCAATCATAGAAAAGCTCAAGCAGGGTCATCACCACCATTAAATCATATTCAATCAAGGAAAAGATTATGGAGTGTTTATTTTGCATTACTGTTTCTCAGCTGTGGAAATCTCTCTTTCTTTTTTTTGGTTTCCCAACAACCCCATCACTGCTTGTATGACAAAGGACCCTGATGGTGGTGTGGGGCACAGGGTTTTGAGAGCCTAACACAGAAAGAGGATTAATTTTATTATTCCTTCTCCCCCCTACCCCCACCCTCCTCTACTCACAACTGGCTTTTTTCATATTTTACTCCATCTGGGAGTACAGCTTGTGGCAGTGTCAACACAAGACACGGTGAATGCCAAGGGTGTTTCTCTGCCAGCCAGCTGGTACCCCTCGTGCATGGAGACCAAGTGCATATGCTCTAGGACAAGCTGAAACTAGAATATCTTTGGGACTCAAGAGCCCCAAGTACATCCCATTGCAAAAGACTGGTCTTCTGGCTGGGCGTGAAAACAACCTGCTGCCAGGCCACCAGGCTGCTTGCTTCTCTTCTGGGAAATCTTTTCTTGCCACATCTTACCTCCTCAGTTAATTCTGACACTCTGCAAACAAATGCATGTTTTACTCAGGTGTAGAGTAGACTGAATGGTATGTTGGTGGTTTATAATCCACAAGTGCTCAGTAATTGGATGTTGTAGGTTATAAAGTGTTCCGGTTCAATTTTTTTTTTAAGGACAGAGGCTTTGAGAATTGTGCCTTCCTCTTGCTTATGCTATTTGTCCCTTTGATACATTTCAAGGAAGAAAATAATTTAGAAGCCATCTTGCCACTGATTCCTTGATCATTACTGAGAGTAGAATGATGCCATCCAGAGAAACGCAAATCAGAGCCCAGAGTCACTTTGATTCTGTAAATAGCATTTGGTCTCAAACAATACACTTGACTTGCTCTTTTTTTCCTTCTCTATTAGTTCTGTGCTAGTTACTTTTTTTTTTTATCTTTGTGATTTCAACAGTGTGGGGGAGCTCCCTGGTATAGAAACTCTTTCCATTGATGCAGATGGTAACTCATCTGCAACTTATAGTCTTAGTAATCTTAAGGCACTGAAAGATGATGTGATTTAGGATATGGAGCACAGTGGAGGATCCAGGTTTGAATCTCTTTGCCTCTGAGAATATCTTCTATTTACACTTCATATATCTTGTATGCACACAGATACTTGTCTATTGTCTCCCCTGTTAGAAGGTGAGCTTGAGGAGGGCTTGCCTTTCTTTGCATCCCTGTGCTTAGCATAGTGTCTTAGCATAGCATAGCAGCTTAATAAAAGCTTGTTGGCTATAAGACTGAATCCTGAGTCAGCCATTTATTACCTATGTCATCTTGGGTGACTTACCTATTTGGGCTTTAGTTTTTTTGAAAAAAAGAGAGGGTTAGCCTCCTCTCAGATCAAAAATCTATGATCCTGTCCCTTGCTCATGGTCACATTGCCAATATGTGTCCATCAATCAATCAACATTTATTAAGCGCCTATCATGTGCCAGACATTGTGTTAAGCACCTACTATGTGCCACTATCAGAGGCAGTTCACAAAGCCAGGTTTTTCTGACTGGTGTCTGGTCCTCTATCCACTCTCCTATGTTGTCTTTCATTAATTAAAATAAGCACGAGAAGCAGTTATGGCAGAGAGAAGAGAGAGCTGCTCTCAGAGTAAGGAAGTTCTGGATTCAAGACCTACCTCTGATGCATAGGGGCAATGACTGGGCAAATCACTTAACCTTTCAGTGACCCAGGGAATTCTCTAGGGCTAGAACTTCTACAGAGCTGACGTTGCTCTGCATTGGTATAGGGAGCTGTCTTATTTGGAGCTCCTGACACAAATGAAATCATGTGTGCAGTTAAAAAAAATAACACTAAGTGATGCTTTCGGTGAAGGAGAGTCTTTTTAGATTTTTGTCAAGAATGACCACATACTGCAGGCATCGAAAGATGGGCTCTGTATGTTGGCTAAATCAGCAGACAAGCTGTTCCTAAATTAAAGCTGGATCCCCAGTGGGAAAGGCAGGATTTGCCGTGCCTATATAGCCCTGTGCTTTGAATTAACAGTAAGAACAACAAGGGGGGGGGAACCCTGCTTTCCCAGCTCTTTGATAAATGACACAATCGATATCCCAACAACTGATCAGAAACCAGCCTAATTAAAGTATTCAGCCTGTAAAATAGAGCTGTCATGGAGGCCTCCATTAGTGTCCTGACCAATAAAAAACATAATGGATTTTTAAACATATTCTGCTTTCTACCAAGATGGGCTGTCGCAGCAGGGAGGGAAGTGTTTTGGGGAAGGGGGAAAAAATAAAACAGGTCATAACCCATTTTTTTTATACCAAGTCTCCAGCCTCAAATGGAATTACAATTGAACCTCAAGCTCATCCTTGGAAAAAAAAGTATTTCTGTTTAAAATGATTTTGATTCAATCAAGAGCTCATTATGTATTCTTCATGAGGCGCTCATCAAAACTGTTTACATGTCTTGTACATCTGGGTAACGTGTGTGGGGGGAAAGTCCCAACAACTTTATATTTTGACTTTTCATAAGTAGCTTCTTCAATTTTTTTATATGAATAAAATGTTCAATTACCACTTTGGTATTCGTGCCAAATCTAACTAATTGGTTTCCCTAAACATGCAAGTAGCATTGAGACCCTTTTTGTTGTTGTAATTATATATTATATATATAATATATATATTATATATATATATATATATAATATATATATATATATATATTTATTTTAAACCATACCTAAGCATAATGGCTGGCCCAACAGAAGAATACTATACAAAGGACCACCATGGAGGCTCTGAGCTTGCCTTGACATGGAAGAATGTTGTAGATTTGGGAGATAAAATATTGGAGATTAAAAAAAAATAATGAACACAAGATGTACATGAGGCTGTCATATTGATATAAAAAATCCTCTTTAATCTGCACTGAGGCCACACTGATTCCCAATAGCAGAGAGCAAGTAGTCTGTTTATTCCCTAAGGAAAGTATAAAAAAAATTAGCAAGTCTAAAAATACATCTTGGAAAAATAATTCATAAAAATCTGCTTTTCCCTTCTCTTGTCACTTCTCATTCTCTGATTGTTCCCCTGGTGATCTGTTCTGAGATGTGACTTCCCAATGTGGATCACGAGCTAAGTGTTAAGTACTTTCTTTTCCTGAGCTCCCTCTCAACCCACCCAAGAGTGTGAGAACTGGAATGAAAACATTTGCCACAAAGGATAAGACAAACAGCAAATTTGGGCCCAAATGCTTAATACTGATCCACTGTCAGAGAACAATGTGGAGAGAGACATGGAGGTAGTTTAGAGAGGACAGAGGAGCAACTGCTTTTGAGCCATGGCCCATGCACTTTGACACTGCGTAGAAAATAAGGACACTGTATACCATAACAAGGAGAAATACTGAACTTGAATAAAGCAACTCTCGTAATCCAGAAAGGACTATATAATTATTATACTGAAACACAGAGCAAGTATAGTTTCTTTTCAGTAGATTCTAATTCAATGAAACAAGTTGTATGGCCTATTACTACTTTCTTTGCCTGTCTTACTCCTTTGATGAAGTATGCCTTAAATGAAACTTGGGGTCTCACACTTTCACTGTTTTTAAAGTGAAGAATGTCAAGGAAGAATATTCAATTATTTTCAATTAGAGCACTTGTTCTACTTTATCCTAGTTTATGTACCTATTGTATTACAGGAGCATCTCCTGCCCTTTGAGAATTTCCTTCTAAGCAAAACTTTAAAATGCTGATTTTTCTCCTTAACTCTTCTTAATACCTAATTTCTCCTTGTTTTCCCTTTTCTTTACAAGTTCCGTTGTATCTAATGTTTATGAATATTTTATGCCTAACTGTATTTGAGTGGAAATGTACCTTATATTAAGAAGAAGCTACAAAAGCATATTACTTTGTATGATAAAATATTCCAGGGGAAAAAAGGGTTTTTTTTTTTGTTTCTGTAACAGCACTTGTAATTAAGTCCCAAGCAACAAACCTTGAGAAGCAAGATTTAAATTTGCTAATTCAGGTTCACGTAATCCATTTCGATCCTCACAAAAATTTAAAGGGTAGAAGTTATGCAAATTTGTTACAGGTCTATATAGATTTCTGTGATGTGATATATCATTTTTATATTATGTATGGTACAGATTAATTTATATAGGTTTGTCATGTAAAGGGAATGTTGGTAAATCAATTATAAAACACGAAAATGTTTATTAACTAGTATTCAACTTCAGGAATTATTTTTAAAATGAAAACAAATGCAGCCTTTCATATTTTGCATTTTGTCATTTAAGTGGAAGAAAGGTAAAAATGAGTAAAAAACACATAGACTTGAGAGTCAGGAGGCCTAGCTTTGAAACTAACAAGCTGTGTAATCTTACATAAGTTTCTTGAGTTCCAGTATCTCAATTCATAAAATGAGAAGATTTGACTAGATGAACTCTATTATCTATTATGTAAATGATTAACCTTGCTAGTCTTAATGGCAAACACATAGCCATACTCATTTCTCCACCTCTCCTATTGCAGCAGAAAATCAGGAGAGTGTATGCACACATACATACATGTACATAATACATACATACATGTACATGTACATAATACATATATTCATAAAGTTTAGACAAGTAGAGTTCTGCCTACAGTTCTTATGATGGAATCATAGAACTTCAGGGATGAATGAAGAAAATGGGGCAAACAGAAGTTTAGCCACTTGCCCAAAGTCACAGAGTTAGTAAGTGGTAGAATTAGGGTTCAAAATCATATTGTGAGACTATAAAGCCAATTTTTTCCCTACTCTATCGTCATCCCTCACAAGTTTTGATATAATTCTACATCTTCCAAGACAGGTGTTCTTTAAGCACCTCTGTCTGTCTGTCCATTCGTCTCAGAATCACTAGCTGGATCGTCCCTCGGATGTTGCCTTCCATAGACATGGATCTTCTAAGAGTCTCCATAGCTTCATGGTTGGACCTGCCCAAAAGAGATTCGCCATTCACTGCAATCAGCTGGTCATTCATCCGCAAGCGCCCATCCTAAAACAAAACAAAACAAAACAACAATATGGTTACTGGAGGCCAATGGTCAATTCAATTCCATTAAAAATTTATTAAATGCTTACTATGTTCAAGGAACAAGAGAGACAGGTATGACAGTGGATTTTGAAGGCTGAAATGAAAGTCAGCTCAAGTGCCACTTATGACTCATCATGGTTATACAGTAGGTGCTGTAAGCCATAGGTGTCAAATTCAAATAGAAGCAGATACCCACTGACTGCCTACTGCCTCAGAAAAGCACAAATTAACATTATCTATGTCATACTGTATTTTTATTCATTTCTGTTACCTATTTCCCAATTACATCTTAACCTACTTCAGGCTATACTTTGGAGTGTTGTGGGCTGTATGCCGCCTGGAGTGTGATTGACAGCTCAGCTCTAGGCAATTCCTCCAAGACTATAAAATTGAAAAGGAGCTCATCCATATTGGTAGAGGGAGTTTCCTTACCTGAGAGCTCTCTAACAAATGACATCAAGGTCTAGTCTAGTCCCTAACCTTATATGCAAGATACTGTGGTAGATACTAGAGATATAAAGTTAAATAACAACATAGTCCCTGCTCTCAAAAAATTATGCGAGGAAGAATGCAGGGTGCAGTCAGAGAGGTAGAAGATAAGATGGAGCATGACAGGATCAGATGACATATTTGTACAAAAGGCTCTAGGGAAATTTGAGAGGGGAGAGACCATTTCCAGCTGAAGACAGCAAGGAAGGTTTCCTAGAGAGGGTGACTCCTGTACTGAGTTGTGAAGAAAGAAGAGGATTTCAATAAGCAGAGGTGACAGTGATCTTGGCTTCAGGGGGTGCCCTCTGTGAATGCATGAAGGTGGGAAATAACAAACAGGATGAGTCCAGGAGAGTAGCTAGTAGATGTCCAGCCAGAATACGGAAAGTGTGGATCTGAGTAGGATAAAGCAAAGCTAGAAAGGCAGGTGGGATCCAGGCTGTGGAAGGCTTGAAAATCTAGGTGCGGCCTGAACAACCTGCCACCTGCCAAAGGATTTTGGGCGGCTAATGAAAAATGTAGAGGAAAACATGCTTTGGCAGGCCGCAGGTTGTGCAGGCCTGCTTTGAGTTAAGGAGTTTGTATTTTATCTCTAGGCAACAGGAGAGCTACTAAAGGATTTTCAAACTTGTACATTTTAAAGATAATGAACTATAGGAAAACACATACATATACACACACATATATATATGCATGTTTATGTGTATATATATATATATATATATATATATATATATATATATATATACACACACACACACACACACACACAATTTTCTGAACTTAACAAATACCAAATAAAAATTCCAAATATGTATCATAGGAATAATAATAGCACCTACATTCCACAATTATTGTGAAAATCAAATGAAATATTATTTGTAAAGAGCTCAGCATAGTTCCTAGCAGGTAGGTGCTATACACATTTCATTACATTTTATTACTATTATTATCATTATATTAGAACAGAAAAAGACAATTTACATAAAACTGTGTACTGTGTCTCCATTTTGACAGAGTGATTTTCCTTTAAATAAATGTTTGAACTTCACATGTAATTTTCAAAATGTAAAATTCCTGGCTTGTCTGTGATTCATTCTGTTCTTCCTTATCTTTTGTTCTGGGTATTTAAAAAAATTCAATGACCCTCTTTTCCTTCTATAGAATGTTCATAATACTCACTAGTATGTGAATAGATATGTCAACATGAATAACTCCCTCCTCACTCTGTTCTACTGGTGGCAAAGGAGGAGAGGGAATGAAAGGCTAGCCCCAGGCCTCGGGGGTGAGCCCATTTCTTAAGGCTTCAACAGCTGAGAGAATATTGAAAGTTCTAAAGAGTGGCCAGGGGAACTGGATAGTCTAATATGGTAAGTAACACAGGATATGAGGATATGGCTTGGGGAAGGAAACGCAGAGAGAAATGGGGTAACGAAACCATGACTTTGGTGTATTTTCCCCACAAGCTGCTGCTAGGACTGTGAGAAACCCGGGTGGGCTACATCCACCCTTTGTGGCCATACCCTCTAAAATTATTAGATGAATGCTGACACCCACAAAAGGGAAGGTGATGATAGCAGATAGATGTAGCTGGTTCTCTGGAAGCCATAGCAAGCTTGGCATCATCCTTTGAATGACCCCTAGCACTGGAGAAAGTACATAACCAACGAGATGGGTGTGCAATCCCAGCACTTGGAACCTCACCATCAAATACGGTCAGGCACTTGGCAAGCAGTCATCCCGTGTGGTTAAACATGCATGCTATCTCAGAATAACATAGCCTTTCATTACAGATTATCATGGCGGGCAAATTCATATTACTGATTCAAGACGGGGGGGGGCTCTAAGATCTTACAGTAGGTGGTCATTTTTATTGTAAGGTTATGCTCACAGACTATCAGGCCATAGATTTACACCTAAAGTGGTTTCACAGACCATCTGGTAAATCTCTTAATTTTATGGGCCCAAATGAAATAATATTGGTAACATGCTTAGCACATTGCCTAGTAAATAATAGGTACTTAATAAATGCTTATTACCTTCACTTACAGGTAAGAAACAAGGTCTCACAGGACTTGAACCCATATCCTCTGACTCCTGAGCTCTTTCCAGTATGCCACATTTCCTCCACTAAGGAATATGGCATGCATGCGTACACGTGCATGCACACACACACACACACACACACACACACACACACACCCATTAATAGCATGAGGCACTAAACAATTTTATGAGAAGGTATTTAATAAATGCTCCAGAAAACCCATTGAAGAAATGCCACATAATCTATGTTTAAATGTAATCTGGGCAAAATCATTCTTCCATAATAGATTACATTTAAACAGAGATTATATGACATTTCTTCTTCTTTTTTGGCCAGGAAATGGGGTTAAGTGATCTGCCCAGGGTCACACAGCTAGTAAGTGTTATGTATCTGAGGCCAGATTTGAACTCAAGTCCTCCTGAATCCAAGGCCGGTGCTCTATCTACTATGCCACTTAGCTGCCCCTGACATTTCTTCAATGGGTTTTCTGGAGCAAGTTTGTCAGTCAGTCAATAAATATTTATTAAATGCCTACTGTATGCCCCTGTGCTAAGCCCTGGGGATACAAAAAAAAATGTCAGAAGACAGCCCCTGCCTTCAGGGAGCTCATAATTTAATGGGGGGAGACAACAAGCAAACAAATGTGTCCAGGCAAGCTACATGCAAGATATATTGGACTGAATTAAGAGGGGTTGGGGAAGGTAGAAGCTGGGATTTTAGTTGACACTTCAAGGAAGCCAGGGAGAGGCATTCCAGGCACAGAGGATGCCCAAAACTGAGAGACTGAGCATCTTGTGTGTGGAATAGCCAGGGTGCAGTGCCAGAATATGGAGTGGGGAATAAGGAGTAATTAGACTGGAAAATCAGGGAGGGGCTGAGTTATGAAGACCTTTAGATATCAAGCAAAGGATTTTGTATTTGATCCTGGAGGCAACTGGTAGCTATTAGAGTTTACTGAATCCAATTCTCAGGTGTAGCATCCAGCATGTCATCCACACCTCCCTTCTCTTTCACTGGGCAGGCTCATTCATTGTCAATCTGCTCTCATTCTGGTAGGTTTGAGTTGTTGCTGTTGTTGTTATTTTTTCTCAGAGTGTATGGGAATGAGGGGGCAGCCATAGCCACTACTATGGCTGCTGCGCCTCTCCTTCAGCCTCTGTGTGTGTGTGTGTGTGTGTGTGTGTGTAAAGGGAAATTAACTTCTACTCTTTACCACTGTAGCTAATGAATCCTCACTGGTGTAATTCCCAGCACTCTGTCTACTGCATTCTGCTGCCTCTCCATTTAAAAAGTCACAACAAACTGTGTATGTGGTAGCATTGGTGGTCAGAGGGTAGGTTGTGATCCTTGAAACAGACAGACATTATTTATAGATGAGGAAACAGGGATATGGAAGAAAAGTGACCTAGACAAGCTCATTCAGCAAGCTGATGACAAAAATAGGGCTAGACATCAAGTGTTCTGAGTTAGTAAACACAGGTATACCACCACTAAAAAACCCCTGAAGGGAAATACTCAACAGCTGCAGAGAGGGAACATTTTTAGAGTCCATGATTGATGACATAATGAATTTTAGAAAATAAATGATTCTTCCACAGCTAGGAGAAAACACATCTACAACCAGCAATAAAAAATCTTCAACACAGCCACCACCTCAGTTTACGTGGGGACCCTTGAAAATCTATGGTAATGTTCACAAACCGTGAGCAATGCAGCTGCAGCAGATTGCTGGGGAGAGTTTCCCTATGGGCCAAAAGAATGAGCTGGTAGTGGCACCATAAACAGAGCTGAGCCAGTGTTAATGCCCTGGTGCTGAGGTGCTGAAGGAACCATCAACTGGTCATTTGCTCACTACCAAACAGACCCCAGAGCCATCCCAAGCAATGCATTAATTGTTCTATGTAGAAACCGAAGTAACATCACAAACAGAAGCATACCACATTAGAGGCATGTGTTCTTTTAAATGGAATGCCTTAATATAACTTCATGTTCCCTCCTTTCCTCTTCTGCTCGTCTAGAAAGGAGAGCTGGATATGAGAGACTCAGAGGGACATTCAAACCGAGAGCACACCGTTCATTTCTAGTTTTTCATTTTGGATGAAGAGTGTGGAGGAATGTCTTTAGGGCACCAAGACTAGAGGGGCAAGAAGAACTCAGTGATTCTCGTGGTTTGGGTCATGAGATTCTCCTTATGAAATGAGAAACCACTCAAAAAGTTATCCCTTATTATAAGCTTGTTACTGTTTATCATAAAACAATTTCTTTCACAAAAGCTATGGAGTGTTTTCATTTGCAGATAGAATCTAAGGCTGCTGTTTGAACATGCAAGTTCATAGTTCAGAATGGGCTCTGTTCATGTTCAGTCTAGAACAAAAAGTGTGGGTCACCCAGGGCAACCGGAATTTTGTAAAAACGTGTTCACCTT